AGTGATATGAAAAACATATTCCACGACTACTGCATATCACCGCGAATATCGCGTTTTACACGGAGTTTTACGGCGCCACTCCACGTAAAACGGGTAGTCGTGAAACTCCATTTAAAATGCTCACCTTCTGTACACAATCTTCTGTTCTCGCCATTCCACAATATTACACAACTTCTGACCTCTTTTGAGAACAAGATTAGATACCTGCACGCATGCACAGAAAAGATACAAAACGTGCCCAAGGCGAAGCCTATAAATGAGGTCCATGTATTCAACTATTTGCAATTTATTATAAGCGAATTTCAGCACGCATGCACAGAAATTGCCCGTTAAGTAAGCGATTAATACTATAGAAAAATTTTAGCACGCATGCACAGAAAATTGCCCTTTGAGTAATCGATTAATGCTATAGAAAAATTTCAGCACGCATGCACACAAAGATACGCCTATCACCCGGACCTCTTTCGCATCCCTCTGTTGATCCTGAACAGTTGTTGGCACATACCACCTCATTAATCTGAGAGTAGAAATACAAAATGAGGCGAATTTACTTCTGGGAAGAATTTTTTTGTGATCAGTTGATGTTTTTCCCAGTGTTATAGGAATATATATCTCAGCTGAGCTCAGGAGTTTCCATACAAATTCAACAACAATGATTTTGCAAAAATTTCTGAGAATTTCGATACTATTTCCAGCGCATGTAATTGACGATATGCATATTTTCCCACAAAAATAACAAAATTATAATTTTGTCACATTATAATATCATTATTTTGTAAAATGTTGTGAAAATTTCAAGGGAAAAAACCAAAACGAATTTCTGGCATATATAAAAAAATAATCATTCAAAAACCTTTCCCGAATCAGCCATTCGGAACTTCTTGAAATTTCCTCGATTTTCGATTTTTTCTGCGAATTTTCGTACTTTTTTGCCCAGGGTAAAATTACAGTAGTTTTTCAGTTTTTAAGGTGTAAAAACAAGGCGATCCTTGACTTCAATTCGCAATTACGCCAAATATTTTCGCGTAAATTTTTTCACATGCGAATAGTTTGTTGTCCAAAACATACCATATTTCTTTCAACTGCGGAAAATAATAATTTTTTTTCCGAGAAATTTCCAACAAAAATTTCAGAAGAATATTTTCTTCGCGATATAGGAGATTAACTTTCCAAAAAAAACTAATTTTTCCCCTCGAACTGAATTCAATAGTCATCGAACTACTCCGAAATTTCAGAGACGATTTTGTAAAAATAAAAAATGTATTCAATGAGTTCTTTTCCCATTTATACAGTGTGGGAATATGCAATAATAATAACTACATGTGTTATCATAAAAATATGGAAATTCTGAGAAAATTTTGGGAAATTATCGTTGGTTTTTGTACATTTCCACCCAAAATCCTTGAGAAAAATTTCAGAATATATTCCCATTAATCAGAATTTACTATTCCTCTTGTATTACCTCACTTTTCCTTGTCTACTCACTAGCAGAATGAAATGAATCATTGAAAGTGGAAAAACTGAGAAAACTAGGTGAGGTAGCCCAGTGCCAAAACCTTAAAAAAGTGGGGGGTCTCCGCCCGAGCGAAAAGTGTCCATGCTCAACTAATATAACGCTAACAGTCATCGATTTTTTTCCGTGGAAACAGAATTATATACGTTTGATATGGTAGATTATACGAGTCACAAGTGAAACGTTGACCATCAACAGCCTTAACCAATCAAACAAATAAAGAGAGCCCGCAAAGAGACGGGCGGGACAACGGTACATAGTATTGGCTATACTACAGTGCTACAGGCGATTTCGACTTCCCACCACGAAAAAATTTTTCAAAACTTCTACAGATGGATGAAAATTTCGATCGAGCGGGGCACCAGGTTTCGCCAACTCGCCAAACTTGGCGAAACCTGTAACCGAATGCTCATATGACTAGTCGGCAAAATCCTTTATAACCCCCTCGCAGACGGAATGACAGCGCATTGGTATCTGTAGCGAACAGGTTTCGACGAAATTTTTGGTACGACCGTTCACCAAACTTTCGAATTCGCTCGCCCGTACGCGCAAACCGCCTTCATAGCATGTAATTTGTCTACAAGGGATGGTTCGAATCCGTTTCTGTGCAGGATAGGACCATAATTTTGGCACTGTTAGGCGAATCCTTTTAACACAGCCAAACTAAACCAGAGATCAGCGTATTCCTCGTCGTGAATGGCGTCATTCGAAATTCGCCATTGCATCAGCTTAATGGATGAAAACTGTTCAACAAGCATCATTTGCCTATAACTTGTGCGTACTCAGCTTACAACCAGTATTTACCGTAACTTGTCGCTGAAACGTGTTTGCTGATTTTAATAGCATGACGGAATTCCGCGGATGACGGTTGCGTCAACTTGATAGTTCTTAGTTAGCATCTCGATTCGAGACTTTCGAAGGTGATACTGAAGTTCATGATGAGGTGTTCATCGATGATGAATCATCATATCAGATAATTTCCGACAGATGACCATGGGATTTTCGTTGAGCGAACTTGCATAATACGTCCAGTTGTGACAATTATATGGATGCGAATCCTCTTCACTCGTTTCAGACCATACTTCGGGAACATCCTCCTGAGCCCACCTCGACGTGTTGGCCAAGGTGATTGTTACATCTTAGCTCCTACGAGAGTTGTTATGACATTAGATTATACAGATCTTATGTCGCTTGCTTTCAGGATGCCAAGTTCTTGTTTCGTGACTCGTTTCTAATACCAATTATAGTAAGTATTGCGCACGGATCCCCCCAAACTTCGAACAAACGTAACACAATACCAATGGGAGGAATGAACTGGAATACTGCAAGTTGCAGTCTGCAACGCTTATCTGGAATAATGGAATACTTCCAAATTCACAGTTCCTCATTTGATGCCACCGCAAGCGAGCGGCTCCGAAAAGAAACACTCGTGGCCACACTAACGTATACTGTGCGGTTCAGCGCAGAGTACGGAGCCCTGCTAACCCGTGATCATGCTATACCGTTAGTGTGGTATCATTTCGTTACGGTTCTACTGTGTTACGGCTGTTATATTGCTTTGTGCGAATCATGGTCTTTACATGCGTGTTGTCTAATAGACATGTCTATTATTCCTACGTGAACGCGGGCGTGTCACGCGCGTTAGGTTTCAAGGTTGGTTTTGGAGTTGATTCTCTGAATCTTCCCTTGGAGCTTGGACTTGGGCACTGGGTCTAGGGTATACGGTTTCATTATTGTATACCCGCTAGTGGCTACGCTTCCATCAATAGCTGAGGGATAGTATACGGTATTTGTCAAGTGACAGATATTGAGTTCAACAAGTTATTCATGGTACTGACTAGAAGTGGTAAGAGCTCTAATACTATGGTGGATTACACTGGCCATCCTATACCCGTGTAAAACTCAAGATATAAACTCAAGACTGTTAAGACACTGAATCGGGCTTAGTAATGTTACATGACTGGCGTAGCATGAATGTAAAGAGTTAAACAGTGATGAGTCATCAATTTATGGACTGCATAAATTGTCTTTAATCGCCACTTCGCTCCGCTGGTTGCACAATTTCTTGTCTGGTGGTATAATCTGTGTCTTCCGACGACTAGGCAAAACCCGTATACTCATGAATCATGCCAAATCGCGGAAATCAGTATTCAGCAAGATTTGCTGAACTCCTCCATGCGTAGGTGTTATACCTACCATTTTCCCGCCGCCAACCAAATCGTTCTTTCACCAAGAACTCCGCCGTTTTCTAGTCTAGTATCGAAATCGCCGACCCGGTGTAATCAGCGTAATATTCCGTATTTGACCACTTTTCTTGGTGTTTGGCAAATGAAATCTGTGCGGTGGTTACTTGGCGAAATCCGAGTTGGCGAAACCTGTTACGCCCATTTCGAGAGAAATGAAAATCGCGCGCGCCCGAAAAATTGTGTGATAAAATTGAAAGATTCATTTTTCAATCTCACGAAGTATTATAGAGGATACTCGTCTAAGAAGTAAACTAGATAATTTTAGTGACAACTCTGTACAGCAGTAGCCATAGTCTTGAGAAATGTCGAATTAGTTTCAAAAGTGAGTCGTATAATCTCAGCTACCAGACGCGTATGTTTCTGTTTACAAATACCATTGGAGTTTCACCATAGTGATAGAAAAAAAACTTTTTTCACGACTACTGCATATCACCTAGTTTTACGCCGCCATTTCACGTATATTATGAGTAATAAACTATATAAATATTTTAGTGACAGTTTCTGTATAGTAGCATTTGCCCTAAAAATGTCGCTTCCAACTCTCGAGGGGAAGATCAACTGGGCAGCAATCTCAGCTGAGGAAGAGGACTCATTCGTGCCAGACGTATGTGAAGTGACATATGCGGAAGCTGCTGAAGGTGTATCTAAACTCACAGCGAAGATTGGGAAAATTATGGAGAGTGAATCGAGTCGTCCTCCTGGTTTCGGATTTCTGATGGACGGCCAAGGTTTGATTTTACCGGAGGACTCGAAAACGATTCAGTCTGTGATGGCTTCGGACGAATTCAGTAAAAAAAGAAGTATGGAGGGAAGCGAAAATAAAGTGAAGAAAGTGCGAAAAATAGTGAACGGTCCGACACTTTTTCCCGATCCGATTTTCAACGAGAATGATAATATTCCGTCGCCAAGCCCTGCGGAAAAAGTGACGAAAAAAGGAATTTCGGGAATTTTGATGGAGAGAAAATCGTCGAGTTGTGGTATTGGGGAAAATTCGGAAAAGTGTTGGGAAAAACGCGAGCGAATTCGGAGAAAGCAAATTGAAATTGGAAAGTCTACGGAGGGATATAAAAAGTATATTTCGAGTATAGCGCCGTCGGAAAGGAGAACGGGAATAGATCCGATTACACCAGATGCGAGTAGAAGAATTAGTAAAAGAACTTTCGATGCAGAAATGAGAGTTTGGCGAAAAGCATTGCATGATTTCGAAGCGGATTGAAATATGGTAACAATCGGTGAAAAAAATGCGATATGAATATATTTTTTCACTAGTGTTTCACATATCACTAGGGTGAAACTCCGATGTAGGGAAATTGAAAGTTTGCAGAATTATGGTATTAATGCTGAGGAAAGTAGCGGATTGCATTTGATTTTTCATTTCATTTTGTTATCAGAGTTGTGTTAGTGAGGATATGAAAATTTTTAATGTTTTTTTCTGTGAATTCTTTACCCGTTTTACGTGAAGTGGCGTCGTAAAACTCGGTGAAAAACGCGATATTCGCGGTGATATGCAGTAGTCGTGAATTATATTTTTTCACTAATGTTTTTCATATCACTAGGGTGGTGAAACTCCATAGTTCCAATAGTGGGGGAAGCAAATTTCTGAGAGAGAAAAACAGTAACGTATGGAAATCAGAAAAAATAAAAAAATGTGGATGAATGAAAATAAAATATGAGTATGGAAGATTTAAGAGATTTGTGGTAAATAATTTTCAGAAAATCCGAAAAATTTAATCGGAAAAGAATATAAATAAAGATGGATAATTAATGAATCTCAAAAATAGGTATAGAAAATAGCAAAAAATTGTAAAAAAATGAAGAAATTTTCAAAATTTAAAGAAATTCAATCGGAAAATGAAAAAAAAACGGAAAATAATTCTCAAAATTAAGAAGTGTAAAAAGTGGAAGAGATTTGTGAAAAAATGAAGAAATTTTCAAAATTTCACGAATTTCAATCGGAAAAAAATAACAGCATATACTACTAAAATATTGGAAAAATTATCCGAAAATTTTTGATAAATTTAAATTCCTTTTCCTCGTCAGTGTTGTTCACATGATATCTGAAAATGTATGTAAACGTTTTTGCACGGTGACAACATCGTTGGTATCAGCCACCAAGGACGTTGCTATGAAGACTCTAGTCGTGAAGCAAGGGGCTAGCAGGGCGAGGTAAGCGTCTGAGGGCGGAGTCCTTAGCCTCGCTGTGCATAGTCTTCTTAACACGAGTAGATTGGAGTTTCACCACCGTTTTACGCGAAGTGGCGTCGTAAAACTCGGTGAAAAACGCGATATTATTCGCGGTGATATGCAGTAGTCGTGAAATATATTTTTCGTATCACTAGGGTGGTGAAGCTCCATTGGTAGTCCGGGTTATGATAATTGACATTATTTAGCCTTGAAATTTCACCTGTAAGATTGCCAACACTTGAGTACTGCGTAAACTTAGTATTACCGTGAAACTCCATTGAATAGCAGATATATGTGCTAACGAGTATTTTATAACACTTCTTATATTATCAATGAATTGCACAGCTTTTGCTATGTCATAGTAGAGGTATTAATAGAAGTGAGAAAAGGGGCAACATGTCTTAGTTCAGATGATTATAATAACATTTCTCTGGGAAACAACAGCGGTGTTGAAATATATGTTCGCTCTCCTCAGTTGAGTCCAGAAGTTTCCTCACTAATTATAGAAGTCTACACATGAATGCCGTCTAACTTTACAAAAACCAATGAAAATTCCTCATAATCTTCGCACTGTCACCAACATATGTGGTTGACCATATGCTTATTTTTCTACACTGAACAACAGAACTATACATGGGGGTTCATAGCACCCCCATGGGTTGAATCAAATTGGCATGCACTCTACAATGCGTGTCAATTTGGTATACAAATGTGTGTTATTTTCCGAGATTAATAAGAATCGATCTGAAACTATATCGCATATACAATGTAACATGTGTTGTGATGAGAGTACCCGTTTGGGACTGTGATGATAGCGACAACTTGTTCATTATAATTTATCCAACAAAATAACACACATTTGCATCGATCAAATTCACACGTAGTGTAAAGCAGTTTTGGATGTATAAAAATTGTGATATAAAAAAAGGAGTAGTTTATTCGCAAGTGTCTTGTGATGATCTGGTAGTCGTAGTGAAATCGTGAAACAATGGAGTTTCACGACCCGTTTTACGTGAAGTGGCGTCGTAAAACTACGCGATATTTGCGGTGATATGCAGTAGTCGTGGAATATGTTTTTCACTAGTGTTTTTTTTCATATCACTAGGGTGAAACTCCAATAGATTAGAAAAGAGTTAGAAAAGGTTCAATAAAGTTCATGAGAATTACAAATGGCAACGGTTTCATGAAAAATATGTGTTATAGCATTTATTCGCTAATACGATTGTATAAATTGTTCCTGTTTTACAAATACCTGTCTCTGAATTTTGTTTCGGCTGTGTCATTTCAGTGTGACGCTAGAGCACGTATATATAAGGTTTTAGCTATGTAAAATGTATTCATAAACCTACTACTTCTGTCCACAGCAAGTTTACTTGGGTTCGGCTTAATTCACTGCAGCTAATAATAGGATTATGCTGAAACACAGAAAGGAGACAGTTTTTTGTGTTGCAAAAAATTTCAGCAAAAAAATTCATCACTTTTCACTATTTCTCGTTGAATTTCAGGACGCTTTTGAAGCTGACCCGAGACCTTTCGGATGAACGAGATGTAACTCGACCGCGGCGGTCTGTCCCCAAAGGTGGCTTTAAGGCGCAACTTATGCATCATGCTGTAGCAGCAACTAAATTGGTGAGGGCAAGAGGGCAGGCGCTTTTAATTATTCATTGGTCGTGGAAGGAAGACGAGGAGAGCCTATTTTTACATACATATTTTCGCAATATTTTCACAATATTTTCGCAATATTTTCACAATATTTTCGCAGTATTTTTGCGATATTTTCGCGATATTTTCGCAATGTTTTTACGATATTTTCGCAATATTTTCGAAATATTTTCCCAATATTTTCACAATATTTTCGCAGTATTTCCGCAATATTTTTGCATGTTGAGGCATGAAGTTGGAACCCTTGTAGTTGAGCCGAAATTGAGTATACTATATTGGATAGCACTGTATTGGTATATATACATTGGAGTTTTGCAGCCCGTTTTACGTGAAGTGGCGTAATACTCCATGTGAAAAACGCGATATTCGCGGTGATATGAAGTGAATTGAAAACCTGGCGAATAACACCGATCAGATCATCCTATTTGACGTGAAACACTAGCAACGTTCCGCGTGTTTTACGCGTTGTTCACTGCTCACGTACGTTTTTCGCGAAGTGAAATATGAAGTATGGTTTCTCCAGTGTTTTTGTATATCGTGGATGGAATTCCGTTTCACATTTTATACCACAATTGCTCGATCATACAAAAAAAGATGGCCCAGATGGGCGCCATTATTTTGACTGTTTTTATTGATTTATTTTCAGCTTTTCTGTAAACGTTGAGAGATTAATTCCGATTCACTCGGTTATACAATGGAGTTTCGCCCTAGTGATATGAAAAACACTAGTGAAAAACATATTTCATGACTACTGCATTTCACTGAGTATTACGCCGCCACTTGACGTAAAACGGGTGAAACTCCAGTGTGTGTGAATTTGATATGCAATTGTGGAAAATTATCGAGAATTGATTCGAAACTACATCGCATAACGCATGTACATGTTGATATGAAATGCAACATTTTTGCGATTCACTCGGTTGGTTCACCTGGTCATGCAATGTTTGTCAATTTGATATGCAATTGTGGAAAATTGATGAGAATCGATCTGAAACTATATCGCATAAATCATGTGATTCATATTTCGATGAATAATGATAATCGTTCGAAAGTATCATCCACCTCGGAGAATAAAACACATTTGTGTATTGGATTGGCATACATTTTCAGGTTGGTCAAGATGAGCTCAGCAACGATGAGGAGAATCCAAAGAGCCAGAGTAAGGGGTAAATGAGTGGCGTTTCACGACTACCCGTTTTACGTGAAGTGGCGGCGTAAAACTCGGTGAAACATTTTGCACACATGCATGTGTTGGTGACAATGTGTGATTTATGTTTCATGTCGTTTTAATGGTTTACATTCCTCAGTTTCGGTAGTAGGAGCCAACTTCTTCGACACGCTAGCTGCCCGAGTGGTGTCTCTATCGGCGAGTTTAACCATAGCTGAAATCGGCGTTCTGTTGGCGGCGTTTTCGAAGGTTGGAGTGTATCATGATTATATGGTGAGGATGGTGGTGATGATGGACCTATTTTGTATCTTACTAGAGTGAACCTAAGATATTGTATCACAGTGCGTGGCAAATTGATATACAAATGTGTGTTATTTTCCGAGAATAATGAGAATCGATCTGAAACTATATCGCATATACAATGTAACATGTGTTGTGATGAAAGTACCCGTTTGGGAGTGTGATGATAGCGACAACTTGTTCACTGTAATTTATCCAACAAAATAGCACACATTTGCATATCAAATTCACACGTAGTGTATCGTAGTTCTGAATGTATGAAAATCGTGATATAAAAAAGGAGTTGTTCATTCGCAAGTGTAGTGGAATATGTGATGTTTAAGATGTTGCTTGTTATGTATGTTCATGTGATATATCAGTAACCGTTCCGAACATGACCGTCTCGACTCAACATGTGATGTATGATGATGATAAGTATATCCTGTTAAAGTTTCAGCTCAAAACTCTTATTCGTTAATGAGAAACACAGATTTTTTGAATTTGCCTAAGAAAAAAATACGCTCCTTAGATGGAAATTCT